CACTACCTCGGGAGGCTGAGGCAGAAGGAATCGCTGGACGCCCAAGGGAGTCTGACGGTTGCTGTCGAGCATAGGCTGACGCACGGCACATCACTCTAGCCTGGGCAACAAAGTGAGACTCGGTGTCTCAAAGAAAAAAACAACAAAAGATACAGGACTTCTCCCTAGAGCTTCAAGAAGGAACCAGCCCGAGCTGACACCTTTGACTTTAGTCAGTGATTCTGATTGTTAGGCACTTCTGAAGCCTCTAGAAACTGTTGAGAAACATAGTTGCTGCTGTTTTGTTGGGCTGCGCTGTGTTTGTAGCAGTGTTGCAGTTTTCTAAAATCTTGCGAAGGGTCACTTTGTTTTTGTAAGGATCCACACGCTTCAAGGTTCCAGGGGAGTTAGGCTGTTAGGCTCGCCTAAGCAACTAGGAAACGAATACGCTTCGCTGAATCCCTTCTCAAGACAGCCACCACTGTTGACCGCTGTGGTCGTGCTCCTTGCCCCTCTTGCCCCCCCCTGCCCCAAAATTGTCAGAACGCTTAGTCGATACTGCAGGAAAATCCATCCCAGAGGGACCCTCTCTACTTCAACAGACGAGTGACATAAACGACAACGATAATCTAAAACAGGGATGAACTGTTTTAGAAGGATTGGGGATCGGGGTGGGATTGGTGCGGGAAGTAGAATATGGCTGAGATGGAAAGGGAATAGCAGATGAAGCTGACATGACAATGGATTGGGTTTTGCTGGAAACCCAAAGTCAACCCAGGGTTCAGCGGTCACCACAGATAATCTTCAGAGTGGGAAGTGGTCAGGAAGAGGCTGACAATCGTGGGCAATCTTTACAAGCCACATCTGAGCTTCGCAGCTGCAGAACATGCTCTATGCTCTTGCCTGGATGAAATCCTCTGCAGCTTTTAAAAATGATTCAGAGAATGAGATGGCAACGTGGAAACCGCATAAAGCATGTTTCCAAAATTGGGCACAAAATGATACCTGCATTCTGATTATAACTATGAAAATGCTCAGAGGGCCGGGCGAGGTGGTGTGTGTGCCTGCAGTCCCAGCTAGTTGGGAGGCTGAGGCAGGAGGATTGCTTGAGCCCAGGAGTTTGAGGTTGCTGTGAGCTAGGCTGATGCCACATCACTCTAGCCTGGTAGACAGAGCCAGACTCTGTCTCAAAAACAACAACAACAAAAAGATGCTCAGAAAAAACAAAGCCGGCCGGGCGCGGTGGCTCACGCCTGTAATCCTAGCACTCTGGGAGGCCGAGGCGGGTGGATTGTTGGAGGTCAGGAGTTCGAAAACCAGCCTGAGCAAGAGGAGACCATCTTCTACTATAAATAGAAGAAATTAAATTGCAACTAATACAGTATAAAAAATTAGCCGGGATGGTTGGTGGCATGCCTGGTAGTCCCAGCTACTCGGGAGGGCCGAGGCAGGAGGATTGCTTGAGCCCAGGAGTTTGAGGTTGTGTGAGCTAGCCTGAAGCTATGGCACTCACTCTGCCTGGCAACAAAAGTGGACCTCTGTCTCAAAAAAAAAAACAAACGAAGCCTCAGCAGTAATATCACACATACCAAATATCGACAGCCGGTCAAATGTGGAGATGATGTCATTGTGAGTGTTATTCTCTATCATCCACCTTCTTCGTTGTTTTGCAGCATGTGTTGATACTTTTGATCTATTTTTTAAAATCAAATGGATTCACTGGCTGGGAATATTCTTGCATATATAATCCGTTATGCAAACATATGCAAATCGCACTCGCTTGTGTCGCAGGGAAGCTCCCAGGGAGGGGCCCCCAGGGCATTGGTTGGAATCTGGGTAATGCAGCCCCGTGTCCCCCCTCCTCTCATTACCCTACCTTGCACCGTATTACAACCAGATATCCAGAAATCCACATCATTATAAATGTTGGAAATGTAAATAAAATGTTTCTTATCCAGCACACATACAAGACATAAATTGCTGTTTCTTCATGGCTGTGTTTTCTCAGGCCTTCAAATTAAAACAAAGAAAAGGCACGATCGCCATCTGTGTGGGAAAACTGTTACCCAACCATGGTCCCTTCAGCTTGATCCGTGTTTTACCCGGGGTCATCCCAACACAAGCCTGACACCACTCCTTGCACCCCGACCTCCTTCTGGAGCTCGTGGCCACGGACATCCCCCGCACACCACCTTGGGGTGCTCCCGGGCACGTCGCTGCTTGGAGAACTTGGCGAGCTTGACGAGCTCCGGGATGCCTCCTTGACCGTTCCCGTAAAGTGTTGGTGCAGTTCACCAGGGTGGTGCCACTGAGGGTGGCGAGGATGGTCCTTGTCACACTGCTCTGAGGCCAGGGTCGGGGGAGGCAGGAAGGGAACGTTAGCACGAACCTCGTCCCGGGACGGGATCCCTCAACGGCCTGCAGGGCCTGGACTGGAGGAGCGGGGCAGGTTGGGGCTTGGTCCTGGAGAAGAGGGGCACGAAGGAGCCGCACCGCTCGCTCCGAAGTGGGCGCAAACGTCCCCTGCGCCTCAGCAGCTGGCCCTGAACGGCCTGAGTTAGAGCCCTTGTACGAAGTTCCCTGCTTTGTGCCTCTTTCCAAGCCAGGCCCCGACACTTTCCCAACCCCCGGGCATGGGGACCGGGTGGGGCGGACACCTCCAGTTCTGGCCTTGGTGGAAATCTCCCAGGACTTCCTCGCTTTACTGTGAAAAGAAAAAGCCGAAGTCGGCCATGCCCAGGAGCGAAGGGGTCTGGGGGGATTAGGGCAAGGAAGGGACCCAGACAGTCTGGACGCTGCCTCTTAGTCCCTCAAGACATCACTTCCAGAGGGCCCAGGAAAACACACTGTCCTCTTGTTCATCCTCCCACTGCTTGGAAAGCATGGAGAGTGGTGAGCCCATGTTACAGGCAGGTAGAATGAGGGCCAGAGAGAGAGAAATGGCCAATCCAGGTTCACACAGGGAGGGTAGAGCCAGAATGAGGATACAGGGATCCCATTCCTGTGGGCCTGGACCCAGCAGACCTTTGCTAAGGACCCATCTTAAAGGGCAGACCCCACACTTGCCTTGGCCAGCTCGAACATGGCCTGCAGGGCAGGGATGTCCTGGACAAAGTCGTCCTTCACATCCGCGTCCAGCGTGAGGTAGGCCAGGCCCTCCACTGCCCAGCGCCGGGTGCGGGTGTCTATGGTCGCGTTGCACAGCCACCTGGAGGGGCGGGGGGAGGGCTGCTGGGGAGGGGGCCAGGGTCGAGGGAGTGCAGTGATTTCAGGGTAGTGGGCAGCGGGTGAGGGCCCTTTCGCTGTCGGGCGTCCACTAGAGCACGCCCCAGAGACCCCTACGCGGGAGCCCAGGAGGAGACAGAGGGCCTGGGAAATATCAATGCAAGCCCCTTACTTGCGACACTGTTTGGCCAGCTTCTCTGTGGAGCCTTCAGCAAACTGCCTGAGACCATAGTCCGTGCCGCCCGCAGAGCCCAGTTTACAGAGTCCCTGTGGAGAAGGGGAGACACAACAGCTTGGGGACGAGGCCGGGCTCGAACAGGTCCCTGTGGTCAGGACACTTTGCCCGTTTCTTTGCCTGGATGCACCTCTACGCAGACTGTAATTCTCAGCGCAGGTGGCTCCTCTTCTGAGATGCCTTCCCTGATGCTTCTAGGTTGGGAGAGATGGCCACCGAGCAGCAGGATTTTACCCTGCCCTTTTTCCGCACGCTTTGGATCTCACAGGTGTTTTGTGTCTGCCATTTTGAAAAACCAGCAAGAGAAAATGCTAACCATATCTGAAACTCAACGGTAAGCACAAAAACTGGTAGAGAAATCATATTTCGTGGATAACAGATTCAGATGTGCAAAATTTTACCCAGGAAAAATTGGGCCATTTTTAGGGGGAAAAAAAAAGTCTTCCATAAGCAAAAACTCACAATGGCAGAAGCTATAATTAGTTTTTTAGGAATTGATATGAACCAAAAAACTGCAATGACTCAAATCTTCACTGTAATTGTTTATAAGAAAAACAAAATATCAATAAAAATAATTTCAGTAAAGTGAAAATGGAAAAAAATAAAATGGGTTTAACTGTGCTATCTGGAAACTGAAGAAGGAAACAATCACACTTTTTGGAATTTCCTCGGGAAATACTTTCTGGACACAAGCTCATCAGTGTGAGTGATTGGCCACTGAACGCCAGTGTTAGTGATTGGTTAGTGAATGCCACTGGTTGTTCATAATGAGCACAAAGGCCTATGAGCATCCTCAGGGTTAAATGGCAGGGTCCGCCATTCTGTGTCCTCACAGCCCCTGCCTGTCACCCTGTTCTGCAGAGGCCTGTGCATGGGCCAGGGTGTGCCCCCAACCCAAGCATGGCTTCCTCAAGGACAGGGATCTTGGCTCATTCCTCCCGGTGTCCCTGGTGCCTGTCATGGTGTCTGGTACCCGGTGTGGGGGTGTCCCAAGCCCACTCACCACCAGCGTGCGGATCTTGATCTTCTCGTTTTTGGTGGTCTTGTAGATCTGTTTGAGCAGCGACACGCCATTGGTGATGATGAAGGTGGCCCGGCTGAGCTTGGTGGAGGCATGGATGAGGGCCTCCACGGCCACCAGCTGGTCCGCCTCACGCTCCGAGCCGCACAGCGCCACCATCATCTCCATCACGCCTTTCAGTCCCAGCAGCTGATTGCCCAGGTCAAAGGGGCCCTGCAGGATCCCTGACACCGTCTGGATGGCGTTCACGTTCTTGTCCATGTCCTGGGGGTCAAACTTGCCCCTGAAAGAGAGGGCAAGGGCGATCAAGAGAACTGGCCTTCGAGGATGGCAAGAGTGGGAGATTTGGAGACAGACAGATTTGGATTTGCATCCTTGGCTCCACAGCTCGTGTGCTGTGTGATGTTGGGCAATTCACCGAACCTCTCTGAGTCTCGGCTCCTGTAAACTGAGGATTGTACTCCTCCTCCTCAGAGTTTTAGTGAGGATAAATGACACAACAGGTGGGACTCAAGGATTTGCATGCAGGAGGTTTATTAGAGAGAGCTCTTGGGAAGAGAAGGAGGCAGGACTGGGCAGAGGGAGGCACTGGGCTGTGATGCAGTCACCACGGAGCCTCAGCCTGC